AAGAGAAATTAATAGCTATTCTGTTTCATTTTAGTATATGATATTAAAAATATCCAATATATGAATAAAGCATCGACATGCATATTTTATGTTTCAAAGTTTCTCTGATGTAGTTTTTAAGATTAAATTGTTTAAAATATAATGTAGCTTTAAAGATTATCTACAAAATATTTAATTTATAATTGTTTTGATTTTACAAATGAAATAATCAAGCATAGAGAAGCAAACATTAAAGTGTGTTTGGTGTATAAATGCGCATTAATTTTTTACTCTAATGCTCCATAATTTTCCAATTATTTTAAGAATTATTAGCAGTCATTTCTGTTTCACGATATAATATAATCTTATTTCTTCATATAAATCTGTTTCCCTATCTCACTGAAATGTTGCAATTTTTAAATAAAACTGAGTATGTGTAATTTTTCATTATTTCTCCAGTGTTGTGTAACCCAATTTTTTTGTTGACTACGGAGCTTTAAATTATAAACTTTTTTTGCGGAACCCCGATACGAGCTCATTGAATATTAGATATGGAAACACTTTTTTTTAACAACTCCTTTGAATACACGGCCATTTATTTCTGTCATACATAATCTTGTAAACCTTTTTGCAATCGTGTTTTATTTACCAGATTGTCCAATCATGTAATTTAACAGGAGTGATTTTCCGGTTGAATTTTCATCATAAATTTTTACAGATCGGTGTTTTGCATATCACAAATAAGTCCTTAATTTCGGAACCCTTGTGTCACTTCCAGGAACTCCAGAGTTCAATGGAACACCATTTGGGTGACTAATGTATGGTCTGTTTTTAGATTATTTTCAAAATATATATAATTCAGTGATGTTCTAGTTTTCTAATTGTCATTTATAAGCTACAGTTTCTTTTTTTTTAAATTTAATTAAGCAGTCATTAAATGGAAAATACTTTAGTATCGTTATTTCTGCAACAAAACTCTTAATATAGTTTTAATACTTAATGGTCATTTAGAAAATGATAAGAGTTCCAAGGCCTGTTGTATAGTGAAAAAAGAAAGAAATATCTACACAAACTCTTTGAATAGCAAGAGGCTTATAGCATTAAAAATAATTTAATATAGTTAATTACAAATGAAGTTATTGGTTCAATCAAATGTAAGAATAAAGCAACGCAGTCTTCATACTGTTTTCTGCTCGAGGGTTTCCTGTTAACTCAGAATATTAATTAGTATATTCGATTACTTTTCCGAATATATCCAATTAATGATCTTTTGACAAAGTGGTAAGGTAAAAAAAATTCTAGTTAAAGTGAGAAATCAAATTCTGTCGATAAATTTTTTCCGTGAAACAAAAGAATATCCCGCATATACCTACGTTTTATAAAAATGAAATATGAGGAGATGGATCAAAGTAGATCTGAAGAGTTTCTGAAGTTCCACTTTCGATAAAATTCAAAATATTTTTGTAGGGTCTCCTTGAATCCAATTATGTTACTTCAGTGGAATTCTATCTTCCTTTCCTAAATTAAATTTTGAGGGGAAACTCTTTAAATTATTAATCCTATTGAAAGAGAATGTAGTGTTTCAAGTATAGTTATCAAAACTTCATTTGGTTCATTGATGAAAATCATTGAATAAATTAAGAGGATTACGTTATTACTCCTGAATACTTTGATCAATGAATTGTGCTACATATATATAATTATGATTTCTTAAGACGAGATTCTTCTCTCGAATATTTTAATTTTAAAGTTTGCTTTGAAGTTTTAAAGTTACGGTTCCAAAAAAATAAGGAAAATGTATGTACTAGAAATGTAAAGAAAGTTTGGAAGAATAAATGAATTGATCTTCAAACATTTGATCGAACATGTTAAGTTCTGTAACGTTAAAAATTGGAGCACAAAATTAACAATTCATTAATGAAAAATAGTAACTTTAAAATACTTTTAATAAAAATACATTTAATAAGAATAATTAAATTAAAATAAGTTGATTTTAATTTAATTATTTGACTTTTTTTTCTTTCAGATCATCCGAAAGTGGATATTCTAGTTTAAGTTTATATGAGAAATACAAAATTGTTAATGAAACGGCAAAAAAATATAAAAATTAAGAAATATAAATAAAAAAGGTGTGAACTAATTAAACCGTGAATTTTAGTTGGAGTTCCCGTCTTTGAAATTGATTAAAAAAGTTCAGTATTTTCTTTAATTATTCAAACACGTTGTGAACTTCAAGTATTAAATTTTCAATATATTATCTAAGTTTATAAATTATATCTTATAATTGTGGATTCAACTAATATTGAGGTTTAAATTCTAAATTCAACTAATAATTCAGCAATAAATTGTGGATTAATCTAATATTGAGTATTATAGTATATTGAGTATCAGCAGAATTATACTTATATATTTATTTTTTACACGGATGAAGTATATAGCAAGTTATGAGTGTTTTTAACTATTTTTTTAGAAATATAGGTTTGGGCATTTCATTATACGTTTGATCATTTTTAGACAGTTTTGCTTTATAAATACTGCACCTACTGTCATGAATCCAATTTAGTACAATAGAAACCTCAACCTTGAATTTAGCTTGCGTGAAAGAAATCCTGAATTAATCAGGCTATGAAACTGGGCGGAATGGTTTTGACGAAAGTAGTCTTCAAATAAGTTATAGTGAACAAGCTTCATAAGTTGAAATTTTGCTTACGGTATTTCGCAGTAATCTCCCTCAATGTGTATTTTTTAGAATACTTGTAAATATGAAGAAAACTATGCATGTTCAAAGCTGCAAAATAATACCTAAATGAGAATCGAAGTAAACGCACTTTAAAAAAGAATTGACGAATGGAAATTGGAAGAAGGGAAAAAAAGAGCGAATAAAATCATCAGAAATTTGGTTATTTGTTTGTAGGACGGAAATCTATTAATTATTTTCTAAGGAAACATAATTAAGCTTTATCCTCAAATAAATTTGTTTTAGAAGATTTAAATCAATCCTTTTTTTGCCGAACACTGTATCAAATTTACTCCAGACTAAACGCTGTCTATTATAGCTGAATTTCAATCTGAAAGAAATTAGTTACTGGTTTAAAAAAAAGTTCATTTATTTAAAATATTCAAATTCTAAAACGTAATAAGGAATGGTTTTAGTTACTTTTTTGTAAACTACAAGTTCTTTTTTTATTCATTGCAAATTTTCTTTTATTGAGGGAAGTAGTGGTAAATATAAAGCTTCCTCATTACATGTGATGATTTATGTAAAATTTATTAATATAAAAAATTAGTGAGGAAATTTATTACAAACAGAAGTTTAATCTATGAAATATTAGGCAAATTTACTTTGTTCGCTATTTCAACAATATAAACTTCCGATCAATGAAAAAACTAAATCATAAATGTTAGTAAATAATGATTAAAGTGATGTTTTGATCACGAAAAGCGAGTTTACCAAATTGCCATCTTCTTAGTCACGTTCCTTAAAGAATGTTTATGTTCTCGTAAAAGGTACCTTCATAAACTGGTAAACAGAAACTCTTTCTTGATATTCTTTCCAAATTATCTACTATTAGAGCTGCAGTTTGTCGTACAATGTGTGATGGATTTCATATCAGAAAGTTGGTTTGAAGTAGTACATAATGGTCATTTGTTCCCGTCACTTAAATGTTATGATCTCATATAAATCCTCATAGAAAAAAGAGCGAGAGAAGCTCGTGGAACTCGCAATAGAATAGGCTATAAATGGAGCCAGAATAGGTTTAATTTCTTACTAAAAGAATACATGATCTGTTTTCTAAATTTGAGTAAAGGTGCAACTTACATTGTCTGAGCTTTGTCGTGCTTTCTGTGTTAATATGCAGTGCAAAATAAATTTGTAATTTTAACTGATGTTTCGTAATCGAAATTTATTTCATTACTGATAGGATGTTTTTTTAACAAATGTTTTTCAGAATCGTCTGCACTGTAAAAAAAATCTCGGTTCATATTGCTGTAAAATGTACCGGTACCCAAGGTGCCGGTATGTTCACAGGCATTCTCTGAAAGCAAAGAAGCTGGTTTAAAGAATCTGATACACCGTAATTTTTGCAGTAATGATTATTGTAAAATCACTGAATCGCTGTATTTAAATAATTATTTTTATAAAATATACGATATAAAATTTTACGGTAAAATTAATTTAACGAATGATGCACCCAGGGTGCTGGTACTTTTTACCGTAATTTGATTCGGAATTTTTCACAGTGTGTAGACTGATATGTTTACTGGTACGATGCCAAAAATTTTCAGAAAGAGTATTTAGGATCTAAATAATTAGTTTAAGTGACCCAGGTCCTTTATTAATTCAGTTTGAAAACTCATCCCAATGACTGCAACCGTTGTTGATATACCAGAGACAAGGCATTATGAGTTTATTCTTATCTCGCCCCGCCCTATTTTAAGGCATACGAGAGTTGATACATACACAAATCATACATTAAAAATACGTAAATCTCTAAAAGTTACATCAACAGTGAATATAAAAATACGAATATCTAAAATAATGCTCAATACAATTCTATAAAACAAGTTTAAACCAATTAAAATAATAAAGTTGTAAAAAGGTTAAGAAAACAAATCACCCAAAAACCAATAAATGTTAAAATTTTACAGGAACATGCAAAACAGTGATAAAATATAGAAGTTAAAATTCGATAAAAAAGGTTAAAAGGCAGAACAAGTTAAGAATCAAAACAATCACTTAAAAGTTGATTAAAACAATACTTGTTAAATTAAAAATTTATAAAAACAATACAAGTTAAAACGTAGAGAAGTTTAAAATGAAATTAGATAGAAACACAAGACACCAGCAATAGTGTTCGCAGGCTCCGAGCATAGTTAAATGTGGTTCAGAATGTCCTCCAATGTTACTTTTATAATTTTTTTTACAATGTTTCTACAGACCAACTTAGCAAAGCATTGATGCAAATTTTGTCCTGCAAAATGGTTTCCACGGAGTGTCTGGAAGTGTGGGCAGTTCATGATCAAGTGTTCGATTGTCTGATTGTCCCCACAGTAGGTACAATTTGGGTTTTTATTGAAAAGTCTATTTTGGTATTCTCCAAACACATCGTGTCCAGTAAGTAATTGGTATAGGTAAAAGTTGGCCTGTAGTCGTTTGGTGGAAGGGTCTTTAAAAAAATATAGGTTTGTCGACCTCTCTCGGAGCTCTGCCATTCTGTTTTCCATCTATTTAGGTTGTTGGACTTGATGATTGTTTTGATCTGGGGCTTGGAACTTGGGACCTCTAAATTGATTTGGCTGAGACTGACGCCTTCCTTGGCTGCCTGATCCGCCTCCTCGTTGCCTAGGATACCAATGTGTGCCCTGACCCAGTTACGTGTGATGTTTGGCCTCCATAGTTGTTTAGTATTTTCTGTTTCTTTGTTATTTGGAGTTGGGTCACTTAGGGCTTGCAACGATGAGAGCGAATCAGTGAAAAGAGTGGCGTCCGGGTAGTCATTTTTAGCCAGCCAATCAAATGCACTTTTAATTGCCATCAGCTCAGCCATAAAAATACTGCAATTGTTGGAGAGTCTAATGGAGTCCGCTTTAATGATTATCCCATTTCTCTTGATGATAATTCCATAGCCAGTCTTGTGCTTTATCCTATTTCCATTATCGGTCTCTTCGGTGAACTCCACTCTTGAACCATCCGTGAAAATTTCCAACCCCTTTTTAGTGGGGAGTGACCTACCCCAAGGCACCGAAACAAACTTTGAGGGGTGTTGCTTTACCGGTCGTTGTTCCAGTGCAATCGAGTCCAGAGAGTGGCCCAAAACTATTTCCAAGTCAGCCAATCCGCAGGTCAATCTTTTTGTGCTGATATCTTCAAGAATCTTTAAGTGAATAGGTATCACTCCCGCCAGTATCTGGAGAGCCTCCGTACTTGTAGTAGAGTTGGCTTTTGTTATGGTAATCAAGGAGGATCTCTGAATGGATTTAAGCTTGTCATTAATTTTTGTATTATTGCGATACCAGACACTGGCGACGTAGATTATAATTCTTTCGGTCGCCCTGAGGTAGATGATTTTTAAGATCGATGGTTTGAGGCGCCAAGTGGCCCTGGCCACCCGTCTGATGAGGTTGTTAAAATTGTTCACTCTCTCTTTGATCTGATTTAAATGGGGTATCCAGGTCAGGCCCGGGTCGAGCACAACACCGAGATATTTTAGCTCCCTGACTTGCTTAATTGTTTGGCTATGATTGACACTCATTTTAATACGTGGGTGTCTGCCGATTCTTTTTTGGTTCTTAGGGAATGTTAGGCAATTAGTTTTTGAATCACTGAAACTCAGTCTGTTTGACTCGGCCCNTATTCTTTCCAAATTATCTACTATTAGAGCTGCAGTTTGTCGTACAATGTGTGATGGATTTCATATCAGAAAGTTGGTTTGAAGTAGTACATAATGGTCATTTGTTCCCGTCACTTAAATGTTATGATCTCATATAAATCCTCATAGAAAAAAGAGCGAGAGAAGCTCGCGGAACTCGCAATAGAATAGGCTATAAAATGGAGCCAGAAAAGGTTTAATTTCTTACTAAAAGAATACATGATCTGTTTTCCAAATTTGAGTAAAGGTGCAACTTACATTGTCTGAGCTTTGTCGTGCTTTCTGTGTTAATATGCAGTGCAAATTAAATTTGTAATTTTAAATGATTTTTCGGGATCGAAATTTATTTCATTTCTGATAGGATGCTTTTTTTAACGAATATTTTTCAGAATCGTCTGCACTGTAAATAAATCTCGGTTCATATTGATGTAAAATCTACCGGTACCCAAGATGCCGGTGCTTTCACAGGCATTCTCTGAAAGGAAAGAATCTGGTTAAAAGAATCTGATAATCACTGAATCACTGCATTTAAATAATTATTTCCATAAAATATACCATATAAAATTTTACTGTAAAAAAGGATTTTATGGTAAAATTAATTTTACGGATGATGCACCCAGGATGCTGGTACTTTTTACCGTAATTTGATCAGGAATTTTTCAGAGTGTGATCAGGAATTTTTCACATACGTTTGCTGGTACGCTGCTAAAAATTTTCAGAAAGAGTATTTATGATCTAAATAATTAGTTTAAGTGACCCAGGTCCCTTACGAATTTAGTTTGAAGACTCATCGCAATGACTGCTACCGTTGTTGATCTACCAGAGACAAGGCATTATGCGGATTCATCGCCACTATGGCCCTGAATCACATACTATTAGTAGTGCCACAATTGAGCAGATGAGCAGAGGATGACTGCGTCTGGTTGAAAAACGTTAATGTATTTATGATTTAAAAAAATAACAAGTACAATTTAAATCTCAACAAGCTTTCTTTTTTTATGAACACTGAATACGGAATTCCTAATATACGTAATAAAATAATTGATACAAATAATGAACTGTTGTAAACAGCAAAATAATACCAGCACTAAAATGAAACAAATATTTAAATGATCAAATAATGAAATAATATTTATAAAGAACTGATATAAATAATGTCATAATGTAAACAAGAAAATGACCGAAATAATGAAATAATACAATTATTGAACTGACATAAGTAAGGACATGATACAAATAAATGACATGAATTGTTACAAATTATGAAGTTATGCATATTTTGAAGTGGCGAAATTTTTAAATGTATCGATAAATAAAATAATACAAATGATGAAATGCGATGAAGGAAATATTATAAATTAGGAAACAAATAATGAAAAAAGTACAAATTGGGAAATGATACAAAGTAATTAATCTGGAAAATAATAAAATATTACAAATTATATTGCAAATAATGAAATAGTATAATAAACGAAATTGTACAATAATTGCAATGTCATAAAATGACGCCGTCAATGAAATAAGAAGATGCAATTGACGAAATGATAAAGTGATAAAAATGAGGAAATGTTACAAAGATTTAAATTGCTCAAATCATAAAATGGTACAAATATTTAAATGATAAAAAAATAATGAAGCATCAAAAATAAGGAAAGTAATCAAATGTTACAAGAAAATGAAAGAGGGAAATCTTACAAAGAGGGAAATACTTAAGAAAGTATTACAAAGAATGATTTGATACAAAATTGCATAATTCATATAAATAATGAAATGATGTGAATCAACATAACTGATAATAGTAAAAATGGAAAACCTCATTTGAAGATGATCAAGAAATACTTAGTTGGAACCATATATACGCACTGAAACAACAAACTTTTTATTCCCTTTTAGTTTTTATTATGTTTTCCAATGCATAATTTTTTTTAATCACCAAAAATATAAGAATTAGTTTTTATGCATCCCCTAAAAGGGATTTTTTTCCTTGTCAGCTTTTTTGTCATTAAAATTCATATCATTTTCCTCACTTTATAACATTTTGGTATAACATCTATTTAGTCACATCTTTGCAATTATATTCCATTAGAAAGAAATGCCACCAAAATTTTTGAACATGGTTTTTTGATGAGCACAAGTGCGAAATTGGAATCAAAAAATGACATTTTGCGAATAATCAAATAATAAAAGTATTTACACGATATGAATAATGATAAAATATAAATTATGAAGTGATATAAATAATGCAAACAAGTGGAAAATGACGGAAATAATGAAATAATACAAATACTAATATGATTCAAACAGAGATGATACAAAAGACAGGAAGTGAAAAATTATGAAATGATATTTAACTGATGCATGCCTTAAAAATTTGAAAGTGTTTGAAAAATTCGGGAATTAAAGTAATGCAATTAATGGAATACAACTAAGGGAGCCTTAAAATATGGAAACAAATAATGAAATAACGCAAATAGTGAAATGATACAAATTAATTAATGGTGTAAAAAGTGAAATAATATAAATTACATAAGGGTAAAAACAATGAAATAATATAATTGATTAAACGATGTATATAACATCATGTAAATAACGAAACATAACAATTATTTAAATTATACAAATCATAAAATGGTAGTAAGCAATGAAGTAATTTTAATGAATTTATGAAAATAATCAAATGATACAAATAACTATCAAGTGAAAATAATAAAATACTAAAGAGAATGAAATAATAATGAATAAAATAATTCATATAAATAATGAAATGATGTGAATCAAAATAACTGATAATAGTAAAAATGGAAAACATCATTTGAAGATGTTTAAGAAATACGTAGTTGAAACCATAAATGCACACTGAAATATCGTGAAACAACAAACTTTTTACTCCCTTTTAGTTTTTTTTTAATGTTTTTCAATGCATCATTTTTTTCCATCACCAACAATGTAAGAATTAGTTTTTATGCATCCACTAAAAGTAATTTTTTTTCCCTGTCAGCTTTTTTGTCATTAAAATTCAGGTCATTTTCCTCAGCTAATAACATTTTGGCATAAAATCTATTGAACCACATCTTTGCAATTACATTCCATTAGAAAGAAATACCACCAAAACTTTCGTACACGGTTTTTTGATGAACAGAAGCGCAAAATTATAATGTCGCCCTTCCATTAGTGGCACAAATTTAAGACGGAAACTTTCGCTTTTATTCGAATTCCCAACTTTGGTAAAAAGAACTTAACGCTCTTACGCTTCTTTTTTTTGCTCTGGGGAAAGAGATAAAAGGCATTCTTTCAAGAAACAACTGCGAAACGTGAAGTGGAGGATGATTTATATGGTTCACAAGGGAAAGAATCACTATATTTTTTTTTCTTGAGTCCAGTTTCCATTAATGTTTATTTCCTTATCATCCATATTTTAACTTTGTCTTGCAATATTGAAAGATGAGCTAAATTAGCATAATGGCGCACATTAATTCTTTTGCTACGCTCTTGTTTTTGGTGCAAACTTAATTCACACAAATATTACCTAGTTACCGGCATTATGAGCTTAATTTAATTGCCAATAAGGGCGTAGTCATCTGCCCAAAATATAAGATTTCATTTTTACAGCATTTGTGTAAAATATAGACTTCAAGAGAAGAATATAATCTAATTTTTTCAAACCAAAGCTTCTTTACAAACAGTACACAAAATTAATAAATAAAAAAAAGGTAAAGCATTCCATATCAGCTATTGTGGGGCAGGAGGTTCATGAAGGTAAAGGCTCTACAATTTCATGGTCAAGGCGGCATGATGGTAGCAAATTGATCAGCATTGCACAACGGCCGTCTTTATTACTTAAACAATCGATTGGATCTGAAGCTAAGGAGGGCTTCAAGTCCCCACTAGAGATTGAACCAATTGAATAAACTGAACAGTTTAATATATTTTGATCTAAAGGGTCGATTTTCAATTACAGTGAATTCGCGATAACTCGAATCTGATGGGACTGACGAAAAACTTCGACTTACCGTTAGTTTCGGTTTTGGACTTTCAAAATATTGTCGGATTATTTAATTAATGCTTATTAATTACAAATCTTCTAAATGCTTACAATATTTAAGATCATTTTTCTGACAAGCCATGTACGATAAGACTGTTTGAAGCACTTTATGATACCCTGGTCCATCGGCTGCAACTTTGCTGTTGTGTTTGGCGGGAGTAACTGCAAGTTTACTGCTTTCACATTAAGTAGATCACAATGCGCTGTGCATTTATCCATAAAGAGTATAACTTTTTTTTTAGCGAAGAATTTCTGATCCAATTTTCTTACATAGTCTTTCTTCAAATAAAACTGATGTCCTCCTAAAACTTTTTGTTAGACTTGTAATCCAAAGGATATGTTTTTACATTCTTGAAACATCGGGGATTTCGGTATTTTCCGATAACAAGTAAGGGCAATTTCTCTGTCCCATACGCNAACTTTCGCTTTTATTCGAATTCCCAACTTTGGTAAAAAGAACTTAACGCTCTTACGCTTCTTTTTTTTGCTCTGGGGAAAGAGATAAAAGGCATTCTTTCAAGAAACAACTGCGAAACGTGAAGTGGAGGATGATTTATATGGTTCACAAGGGAAAGAATCACTATTTATTTTTTTTCTTGAGTCCAGTTTCCATTAATGTTTATTTCCTTATCATCCATATTTTAACTTTGTCTTGCCCTATTGAAAGATGAGCCAAATTAGCATAATGGCGCACATTAATTCTTTTGCTATGCACTTGTTTTTGGTGCAAACTTAATGCACACAAATATTATCTAGTTACCGGCATTATGAGCTTAATTTAATTGCCAATAAGGGCATAGTCATTTGCCCAAAATATAAGATTTCATTTTTACAACATTTG